TGGTACGAGATGTTTTATCCCCTCCCCGCCACGGCGAGAGAGGTTTGTGCTGAGGCCACCCCTGGAAGGAGACGTAAAGATGCTCGTGGTGGGTTTTAATGGCAATAAAATCCCCTCAGTTGTGGCCCTGGTGTTGAGCAGGGTGAGATTATTTCACGTACTGTGTGTATAGACACCTAGGTATCTGTCTGAGGTGTAGTTTATAGCAGGAAACAGCTTTCAGAGCACATGCATTATAGTAAATATGTTTTTGCAAGGGGAGCACGTTTTTGGGGTGCCTCTTAGACACCTGATCTCAAAAAAATTTTCTCAGGAAAAAAGCTCAGGTCAGAGAATATTAGGTATTAGACAGAGGAAGGCTGCAGCTCTGACTGCATATGGTGTGTGGTTTGGGAGGAAGTGGTTGCACATCTCCCAGCTCTTGAGTGCTCGAGCACCATGGCAGTGCCTGGCCATTGCCCAGGACGTTGCTGTGCCGTGGGTTTGTGTGGATGTGCACTGGGCTCTGCCACTTGGAATTGCTCCTGCTTCACAGGCTCTGAGAAGAGGAGGGCAGGTCAGGCAGAGTAAGTCAGCAGCAGGACTCTGCTCATCACCACTGGGGTTTTTTTTCTTGTGCCCGTCTCTCACTGTGGTGGGTTTGTGTTCTCCAGCTACCTGAGCTGAAGTCAGGGGAGGGGCACTGCCTCAGAGTGCCATTGATACAGCTTCCTCCCAGTGTTTACTGGGGAGGGGGGCAGCTCTTTTCCCAGCCATTTGGTGAACTGGGTGGAGGAATGGATTTAGATTTTAAAATGAACAAACCCAGACAATAAAACCTCTTGAAGAATTTTGAAACATCAGGTTTGCCCCCAGCATGGCACAGTAGTGCTGCACCACGAAGGGAAATGGTGCAGGTGCAGGAGCAAGGGGTAATGGGGAACTGGCAGCGTGATGAGCTGCCCCCAGTGCCCATCTCCTTAGCTGTGTCTTGGGAAGCTGCTGAGGAGTTGTTTCCGATCTGTCTGAAGTCTTATGTCCCCCATATCTCCAGCTTGGATGCCTGGCACATTTCTCAGGTGTTAGTTAACTTGGCTGAGGGAGGCTGAGCCAGGACAGGAAGAGTGTGAGATGAGCAGGAGCCAGGTTGTCTGTTGTCACCTGGAGTGGATGTGTTAGACAAGGCCAAGGGCATCAAATACGGTCTCTGTCTGCTTATGATGGTACTGGAAACATTAGCTCCTTCCATCCCCCTGGAACTGAGGTGGAGCCAGGTGTCTGTCCCATGTTGTCCTGAGGGGCTGAGAGTAGGATCTTCTCCATTCTCTGACAGGGGCTGTGAGCTCTCCACAGGTGAAGCTCCTGGCTGCCTGTGCCAGGGTAGGGGCAGCTCTGCCCTCACCAGTGGCTGTTCTGGAGAAGGCAGCGATGCAGATGCTTCCCGGGATGAGGCAAGGGAGCAGTCCTGTGGAGTTGGGGGCGTGCAGGGCTTGCTGCCTGGGGAGCGGCTGTCTCACATGGAGGAGGAGGAGGAGGAGGAGGAGGAGGGCCAAGGCAGCTGCTGGCCAGAGACTGCTGCCACCTCCCCTGAGCACTTGCACGTCCAGTTTCATAATCGGATTAAGGCAGTGGTATTAGAGAGGAGGGATGGGTCAGTGGGACAGGTTTACACTGGGGCTTACACGGAGGGGATTGAAGTGTATTTTTTAACCCTGCTCGGCCTGACCCGTGGAGTGGTTTGGATGCAGCCCCGCAAGGCAGCACCCGCGGGAAGATGGGGGGAAAAGTGGCACCAGGCGGTGATGTGCTCGTTGGGGAGGAGAGAAACCCCAGGCCGGCTGGGGGATGGGATCCGGCTGCCCCTCCCCCCTGGAAGGCAGTCCTGCTCAGGCCTTGCAGTAAATTTGCTCTAATTACAGCCTCCAGCAGTGGGAAACCTCACTTAGAGGAAAGGCTCCTCTGGGGTGGGGGCGGGGGCGCTTCCCAGCTTTCCCAGGCAGGCTCTGTTGTCTGAGGCCTCCGCTTCCCCTGTCGCTGGGAGGCCCCTTATTCCTCTCCCCTCTCCAGCTTTGCTTCTCTCCCCCCCTTTAATTCTCCTCTCCTTTGAGGCTGGGATTTGGGAACAATGCCTTCCCTGCTCCTTGCCCCCCGGCTGGAGCCGCAGGCAAACAATCGGGGTCGATTGCTGCCAGGGGCTCAGCTCGGCAGCACCTGCCCCGGGCTGGTGGGGGGACCATGCTGGTTGTGGCTCAGGGAAGTGCCTGGTGTGGTGACTGCCTGTGTGTGTGTGTGTGTGTGTGTGTGTACCATGTTTCCTTACAGGGGACAGGAGGTCTCCTCTTGATCCCTTCAGGTCTGGGGAGGCCCAGGAAGCTCTGCACAGTTGTGTTGGAGAACGCTTGTGGCAGCAGCAATAATCTGATCACAGCCCTTCTCTTTGCAGGTGGACGATGCGATGCTGATGTTCGACAAAACAACCAACCGACACCGAGGTGAGAGCAGCCTTCTGGCCTTAGGAGAGGGAACTGCAGAGGGTCTGCCTCCTGCCTGGCCTAGGGAGGGGTCGGTATCCCAGCAGCAGGGGATGCAGGTCGCAGCTGCTCTTTATCTTGCCTCCAGTCACCCCATTCTTTTGCATCTGCATCCTTTACCAGCGGCCCTTGCAGCACAGAGAGCTTTTGTCCAGTGCGTTTCCTGTGCTGTAAACTTGCCGAGTTGCAGATATGTGAGAGGAGATGGCCCCCTCCCCTGCCCGCTCACCTCCGTGGCTCCAGCCTGCAGTGTGTGTCTTACCTTGTCCCGAGTAATCTGAGCTCCGGGAAAGCTGACACGAGAGCCTGAAGAGTGCCTGCTCCTCGCCCCTTCCTCGGCCCGGAGCCCGCTTGTGCTCCCAGGTCACCTTTTCTTACCCGAGTTCTGCTGGTGGAGTCTGGTTACAGGATGGGAGCAAGGCTGTACTATTTGTGCCATCCAGACCCAGCCCACCCATGGCCATCCTTGCCTTCTGCCTTCCTGGTGAGTCCTCAGACCGACTACCTGGTGGCATGGCAGGGCTCGACACTTGCATCCAACTCAGAGATTTATTGGCCACAACTTAACCTGCAAACTGCCTCTTCCCAATCAGTGCCAGTAGCAGCCCTGTGCTGACTGCTGTCGTGTGTGGTGTTTGAAGCACTTCCAAGCACCTCTGCCCCAAGAGCAGCGAGGGAACACTCTCTGTGCCCTTCAGGATTTTGCTTTTTTCTAAAGCCATTAAATCTACTCCGACTACCAGGCCTTGGATGTTGTTCCAGCTTCATCTTAAAGGGGAAGAAGTGTTAACCCCTGTTCCTGCTGGGAGGTACCCTGGGAGGTACCCCAGTCACTGGTCCAATTAAAGAGTTGTTTGGGAAGGAGCAGGGAGAGCTGCCAGCCACTGTGTTGGCAGCGAGGGGCTCAGCCCAGGGCACAGCAGGCCTAGTGAGGGCCTGATGTGGCTCAGGGCTGGTTTTGGCATCAGGGTTTTGCTCTTGCATTCCTGAGCTGCTCTGCTCCTGGGTCTTGAGGTCAACGGTGTGAAACCACCTGGGCACAGACAGACAGAGGAGTTTATGGAGAAATGCTTCTGGCAGTATGGAGAAAAGGTTGGGTTCTGGGCATTGGATCCCCATCTGCTTTTAAAAGTTATTTTAAAGCACCATGGAATTGGCCAGTTCTGGAAAGCAGAAAGCTCTGCTTAATCCCAGCTTGCTTGTACAGCAAGCTTAGACATCCTCCCACCTGCCTCAGTTTTCCGGAAACGGCTGCAGTCAGCTGAGAGTTCAGTCTGCCCACCCGAGCTGGGCTTTGCCAAAACTGTCAGCAGAGGGGTTGGTGAGAGAAAGGAGGTGTGAGCGTGGGCCAGGGGCCAGGAACACGCTGTCCTGCCTTACCCCAGATACGAACCTCACTTTGGTGAAACCTTGCAAATCGCTGTGCCTGTGTCTGCCTCGCTCTGTGCAGCTGCACTGCTGAGATGTGCCTGCCCACACGAGGCTTTATGGCCAGTGCCTGCCGAGGGAACTGCAGGGTGTTGCTGCTGGTGGGGTGCATTTAGTGAGGATGGTGATGTCCTGGCAAGCAGCTGTTGGTTCCCCCACCGACTCTTTGTGTGAGCGTCCGCCTGGATCCTCCCCAGTGTTACCAGCCATGTGCTTTGCCTTGCAAATAGCAGAGTCTAAAAAACACCCAAATCTGGTTTTGAGAGCTGTTGGGTTCAGAGAGGGTGGGAAGTACAGAATGAGGAGGAAAGGAGAATCTATAAGGGGATAGTCCTGTTCTTGTGCATAAAAGCAGGATTTGCTGGAGAGGGAAGATGAGTGACAGCTGTTTTAGAAAGGGCTGATTGTACTGTCCTCCTCTCCTGCCAGTAAAAGGCTGTGGGTAGCGAGTGCAAACTGTGAGAGCTCTGACCTGATCAAGGAGTTTTGCCTTTTCTCCAGGGTTTGGGTTTGTCACATTTGAAAGTGAAGACATTGTGGAAAAAGTGTGTGAAATCCACTTCCATGAGATCAACAACAAGATGGTGAGTGTCTGGGGCAGAACCTGGAGAAGGAGGGACACAGGTACTGGAGAGAGCAGGGCAGTGGCACAGGGGCAGGGTGTGAGGAACTTGGCTCCCAAATAATTTTTCTCTGCAGTGGGGAGTTGGATTGAGTCTTTTCCCCAAAATCACAGCAGTCAGTGTGGGAAAGAAACTTGTCATGTGGGGGTGAACCAGCACAGTAGTGAGTTCTCAAGGAGGAGAGCTAACTGTAACAAGGAATTGTGCCGTGCTTGGAGGTTCTGAAATCACACAAAACCTCATGGTGGCCTGGGAGGGGGCAGGTTTTACCTTTATTCAGAAATTATGAAAATTAGTCTTTGAGGCCCTGGTGCAGAGCCGGGCAGAACGTCAGAGGCAGCACCAGGAGGAGAAAAGCAGTATTTGAGCTCCTCACTGGTGGGTGCAGGGCGAGGGAAGGCTGGCATTGAGCAGGCAGGAGACAGGGATGGCAGGGAAGGGCAGCAGAGCGGGATGACAGCGGTGGCTGGAGCTGGGACAGGCAGCCCTGCCTGGCCTGCCTGTGCTCTGTGGCAGTGTCCCGTGCCCAGGACAGCCAAACCTGATCCTTACTTTCTTGTGGCAGGTGGAGTGTAAAAAAGCTCAGCCGAAGGAGGTGATGTCCCCAACGGGCTCGGCACGAGGGCGGTCCCGAGTCATGCCTTACGGGATGGATGCCTTCATGCTGGGGATCGGCATGCTGGGTAAGCCCCCGGACAGCTCCCCAGCTCTCCCCCTTCTCCCGGCCGTGCCAGGCAGCAGCTTAGAGGTTTATTCCGGGAGCGGCGGGGCGGCCAAGGGCAACGCTCCCGGTGCGGGGCCGGGGGCGCTGCGGGGGCGCCGGGACCTGTTTGCGATCGCGACTTGCCCTCTGGTGGCACCTGGAAAAACTGCAAACGCGTCACCTCTGCCCTGCGACAGCCGGCCCGGCCTGGCCCGGCCCGGCTCTGCTCCTCGGCAGCTCCTCAAGGGTCCCGCAGTGCCGTAGCACATGGACTGTAATTCCTTAATGCCTCTCGAGGAATAGGATGTAACCACAGAGCTGAGTGTGGAGTAATCTGTGCCCAGGCATCTTCCTCCCACTCTTCTGCAGGTTTTCTGATTAATTAGTTGATTAAAGAGCCCCTCAACTTCCACTTGAAACAGTGGTCTGTATAAATGTCTCCACTGCCATTTAAGGACTGTGAAAATGCCCTTTAAGTTCTAGTTCAGTTTTGTCTCGCTCTGTTCCCTCCCTCTCAGATACAGGAATTATCTGGTATTGCAGGGAAAGCTATACATTTATTGTGGGACTATCTTGTAAGGAGAAATTGGTGACAAGCAGGCTGGGTTTCATGTCTGTCAATGCTTCCAAGGCAAATGTGTTCAGAGAAAAGATTAAAAAAGGATAAAAAAAGTCAACAGTAGCCTGCACTTCCAGGTCTACAAACCCTCATGCCTGGATCTGAGAGTCAGCATGATCCTTCCAGCACGGGTGCTGTTCCTGGCTTCTCTCTTTTCCCACATTCATTTGAGCCAGGCCTGAGCTGACCCAAGAGCACTATTTGCTCAGGATCATCACTGGTGTTGCTGGGCAGGGTGTACTCAGCCTGGCTCTCAGTGCTAAGCCTGCTGAGTAGCAGTTAGTCACTGAAACAAAACCCCCAAAAGGGCATTTTTTCCCTAATGTTTTCACTTGACTTATTGAAGGAAAATAAATCTCCAGCCTGTGGTTTTGGGTTTTGCCTTTTCTAAGCTATCTGAATTTTAAAGTGGCGAGGCCCAAGCTGAGTCACTGGGAAATCCACATGTTCCTGTCTTTGGAGATCTCAAATCAAATATTCATCTCTGAGTCAGTGCCCTGCATTCTCAGAGGCTTGTTCTGGATAGGTGGTCAGCTTCCCCGGGAACGGCAGGAGCTGCCCTCCCGCCTGGAGCTGGGCAGAAGCTCTGCCTGCCTTCCCCAGCACTTCTGGTGCAAAAGTGACTCAGAGCTATTCAGCCGTTCAAATGCCCCTTCCTCCCTGATCTCCCGTTTGTAAATCCAGCTGATGCATCACAAAGCCTTAGCCTGCAAAGCTGTGAGTTTGAGAAGGAAACCTCCATGTCCTTACATGTTTGGAGCGAGGAAAAATTAAACAGGCCTGCTAGAACTCCTCTGCAGGCTCGCACGTGTTGTGTGCTCTGCCCAGAACTCTCCTGGGGTTTCTGCTGTTCTCCTTGTTTCTGCTTTCTAGTGCCAAAGGATGCTCGTGCTGCTCGTGAGCAGCCAGGCACTGAGGGCACAGACCCTGCCAGCTTGCACTAACAGAGCCCTTTTCTCTTCCCCAGGTTATCCAGGCTTCCAAGCTGCCACCTATGCGAGTCGAAGTTACACTGGCATTGCACCTGGCTACACTTACCAGTTCCCTGGTGAGTGGAGCTCCCTGCCGTTTTTTTGTTCTGCCTTCAGGTGACGGGTGCCCCTGGCATGATCCATGACCCAGGCTCTGCCCCTTTCACCCTTTCCCCTGTTTGGTCTTTCTTTAAATTGGAGACGGATGTGGAAGGGGGAGGGGAGAAGCCCTGGAATAGGTGGGAACAGCCTGTCCTTCATTAGGATTATCCTCACACTGCAGTGGCAGGAAAAGCCCAAGGCTGCTCCGACGCCCTTTGTGCTGAACTCCTCTGTAGGGCTGCTGCTGTGACACAGAAGGGCCCCGCAGCTCTGCCTGTCTCACCGCCTTTGTGTGTGTCTGTCTCTCTTTACCAGAGTTGCCACTGCTCTGAAAGTAGCACAGAATGTTAAACCCCGTGTGCCAGGGAACTCCTGGCCACCTGAAACGCAGGCGCCTGCAGCGCTGCACTTGTGTTCTGAACAGCACCTGGACCACTCACAGCCTCCACAAAGCATCTGCTGGGCCAGAGGGCTGCAGATCCCCTGCAAACTGGGTGGTTTCAAGCTCCCAACCCTGCCATGTGCTCAGAACATGGACTCCACGATCAATGGGTGGAACCTGCTGTGCTGCAGCTGCTCAGAGCTTTGTGGGGCCTCCCCTCCCTCCCGCTCTCTGCCAGGCAGGGGAACGAGGCAGAGCACACTCAATGGATAGACTCATATTGCTGTTTTTCAGAGAAGTGGCAACTCTGAGCATCCCTTCCTTACTCCATCCCTCAGTGTGATGGTTGATATATGAAGTTTTGATATTAGGGGCTGGGAATGGGAGGTTTCCCCTTTGCCTGAGGCGAGCCCAGGCTGACTATGGCTGAAAGTTGCTGTTGCCTCCTGGCTGTCTGGAAGCTCTCCGTGAATCCAGCTGTAGTGGCTTCAAGTGCCTCATTGTAAACCCATGCCAGGCTGAGCGTGGCACATAGAGAGCACCCGCTGGCATTGCCACCAAGAGGTCGGATTGGCCGGGTCACAGAGCTGTGCTCCAGGGCAGACCTGAGGCTGCACAGTGAAGCTTGCACTCACCCTGCCCTGGCCACATTTATTCTAAGGATAAATGGATCCTTTCAGCCTTCAGGGCAGGAGTGCAGCACCTTTCAGCACCAGTTATAAATCAGTTTAAAGAAGACCCTGGCCTGGTCGCAGTGTGGCTGCAGGCTGCTCCCCCAGCAGACCCCGGCTGCTGTGTCTCTGCGGGGCCTCCCTCGGGGCGTGTGATGAGTTCTTAAGCTGTCTTGCATTTCGTTTTTAGAGTTCCGTGTAGAGCGGACCCCTCTCCCGAGTGCCCCCGTCCTCCCCGAGCTCACAGGTCAGTCCCGCTCGTTTCCTAAACTCACAAGCTGGAAGGGGAGAAGGGGGCTTTGTGCTGTTCCAGCGGTGTTGCTGCTCCACAGCCTGGCGCAGTTTATTTCCTCTTTCATCTGAATGAGCTCCATCCAAAGCTGGGGCTGGAAAGGTGGAGGGGCAATCAGAGCCATGGGTATTGCCTGTAAAAAGGGCCATGCAGGTCCTTTCCTGCTGCTTGCTTTGTTTTTAGCTCCTCGCCCCAGGCTGAGTGTAAACCAGATATGGAAAACTGCAAAGAGCAGGGTTACTGCCACAGGTCTACAAATTGCTTTAACCTGAACTGCTGCAAGGATAAGATTTGGAGTGCTGGGAGAAGGGAGAGGGTGTGGGGGCTATTCCTAGTTATTCCAATCCCACTTCCCTGGGCAGGAGGAGCTGCAGGGAATGCTTTCCTTGCTTTCCCTGACTACTCTGACACAGGCTTCCCAGGGAGAAGTGAGTGTGGTGGGACTCTGCAGAGTCCTGCAGTGCTCACAGGGAGCCGTGGAACAAAGTGAGAGCAGAGGACCATTTTCAGTGTCCTCATAGTGCAAATACTCCCTGGATCCTCAGCCCCTGGGGTGTGTGCAGTGTGTTCTCTCTACATGATGTTCCTTCTGTCTACTCTCCCTTTCATGGCCATGTTTTCCCCAGCTCTGTCCTGTCCATGGTTTTTGTCGTAGAAAAGCAGCTTTGTGTAGCACCCTGCTCCCCGTGTGCCATCTCATTTCCCTGGTGTTCCTTCTCCCAAGCGCTTCCTTGCCCCCACCTGTTTCAGGGTTTGAATTTCTCCATAAAAGGGTGTGGGAAAACTTCCCGGGAAGCTCTCCTGAAATTAGCAATACAAACAGGCTTGAAAGGGAGTTTCTGTGGCACAGAACTTTGTGATCCTCAAGTTCCTGGGGATGCTCAGGTTGGCAGCCACCGATGAACAAATTTTCCTGATGGTGATAAAGGGAGACTAAATCTTGTCTCCCTCTTAACAAAACCCCTCCCTGACACCATGTATGCAGCTGCATAAGCACCTCTGAACCTTCTCATTGCCAAACAAAGGAGATGTGGGTCCAGTTGTTTATTTACATGTGTGTTTTTCAGCAAAACCCGTAAAATTTGTAAGGGAACATTGGTGATTTGGCAGAAATGTTTTTCCCTCCGTGTCCACCCCTGGCTGCCCTGTGCCTTTTCCTAGCAGAGGTGACCTGCCTGGGGCCTGGCTGTCACCAGTGGCTGGGGCTCTGTACAACAAGAAGTTATTAATGCTGGTGTCCTGGCTGGGTGCCACGTTAGCTTCCAGTCCTGAGTGTCTCACTGAAGTACCAGCTGGGGATCGTGGCATTCTTCCCTCCCCGCTACGCTTACCTCCTGTTAACCAGGCCCTGTGCAGCCGTTTGGCTGGGCCACGGGCTGCCATTCCCATGTATAGGCTGGAGTTGGCCCCGTGGAGGGCAGGGCCCCTCCGCTCCCACAAAGGCCCAGCGAGCAGTGCAGCGCTCGAGAGCCCTCATGCCTTGGAGTGGCTGCGGCACACATGGGCTGTGCTCCATGGGCTTGGCAAGGGGAGACGAGAGGAGGGGATGGCACAGGCAGGGATGGTTGCTCCAGCACCCAGGCTGTGCGCAGGCAGGTGCTTTGTCACCACGGCACAAACCTGGTGTCTCAGCAGATAAGATTGCAAAGGCAAGGAGGGTTTCTCTTGGAAAAAACCCTGGAGTTTTAAGAAGACCTCGCCTCCTTTCTCAATAAAACCGCGTTCATTCATGAGTTAGGGACTTGCAGCAGTGATGGGGCAGGAGGGTGTCTACCAGCAGCCTTTCTTTCCCAGAACAGCATCTTTGGGGGTGATGTGAAGCAGCAACATGCCTTCGTTGGCCCAGGGCCTGTAATGAGCGGCTAACCCAGATAGAAGCCTCATATGACGTTTGCTTGAAACAGGCTGGTGCCTGCTACTAAATATTCCCTCATAAGCTAGTCTGGGTTTCAGCCTTAACGCGATTGATTTGTTCTGACCTCTTTTTATGGTGCTCTAAACAGAATCACAGTGAATTTCACATTCAAGCATGAAATGCTGACCCAGTCATTTTAAGGGCAAAGAGAAACATACTGGCTAGATGCCTCCTGCCCTGAGGGCTGGATGCCTGTGGCAGTAGAGTTGGGAATTAGAACTGCTACATATAAATTAAGACTTACTGTTTTAATTAAGCCATTTCTAGTTCCTGCTCCCTAGGTATATGTTTCCTGCTTTTCTACAATGAACAATGAGGGTTTGAGCAATTCAGGAGCAAAATTCAGCGTGGGGAGGATGGTGCATCTTAAGCAGAGACACAGGGAGAAAGAGGCTATTAAAATGTTATTCAAGGATACTACCAAGAGACAGTGGAGGAGTTGAGCCTCAGGACGTTGAGCTTCAGCTGCTGTCCCTGAGCTGCTGCGTTTCTCCACATTTACTGCCAAAATCTGGATCTGTAGCTTCAGATTAACTGCATCTTGCAAGCTAAGTAGTGGCAGGATATATCTGAAATTGCCCACTTCTGGTTCAGCTCTTCCATGTCGTGCCCTTGGCTGCTCTGGGGTGTGGGCTTGGCAGAGCATGGCTCGTGCATTCCCCTGGACATTGGCTGTGCAAAAGGACACAGATAAATGCACTTCCCAGTTGTCATCCTTTGTTGTCCCCTGTGGTGCACTAAGGCCATATGTACGTGTGGGCCCAGTATTTTGCAGTGGGAAATGAAGGCTTCTGTGGAGGAGTTTCCCATGCCCCTGAGATGCCTGTTCCTTCTTTTCCAGCGATCCCCCTCACTGCGTATGGACCGATGGCGGCAGCAGCGGCTGCGGCGGCCGTGGTGCGAGGGACAGGTAACTGCCACTGCCCTCCCCAGGGCGGGGTCCGGTCACGGAGCTTTGCCAGGGGCCAGGGGAGGGGGGTGGGACGGGGTTGCATTTTTGGGATCTTCACTACGTAGTTTTGCTGCCTGCTGTAGGTTCCACCCCCAGTCGCACCGGTGGATTCCTGGGCACCACCAGCCCCGGGCCGATGGCAGAGCTTTATGGAGCCGCCAACCAGGACTCAGGGGTCAGCAGTTACATCAGCGCTGCCAGTCCAGCCCCGAGCACCGGCTTCGGGCACAGCCTAGGGGTGAGTGTTCCCTGTCTGCCCTAGGGCTCAGTACTCCCTGTTGGCTCTGTGGGGGGAGGGAGGTGGAGAGTGGCACGGCCAGGGGAAGGGGCTGTGTCTCCACGAGGTGATGGAGGTGAGCAGCAGTGGGCAGCCCCCTTAGCCCACAGCCTGATTTCTGTTCAAGAAATGCCACCCACTGCAGCATTGGCTGAGCCCCAGACCACAGGCAGCCAGTGCAGAATGCAGCAGCTCACTTGGGACCCCCATCCCTGGTCTCTGCTGGATCTTCCTGATCACTACTCAAGGTCCTGATTTCCAGACCTTTCTCTGATCTGGCACAGGCTTTCCAAGAGCCTGTCTTGGCCCTGACACACTGTGATGTGCAGGGCGATGTGCTCTTTAGACCTGCCACCTCCAACTGAAACCAGCTTTCCCAGCATCTGAGCCATGACTGAATTTGTTGTGGTAGTAATTCTCCTTCACTTTTCTTTTGTTTAAGAGTGGGGTTTTAACTCTTTCTTCACAGGGTCCCTTGATTGCAACAGCTTTTACCAATGGGTATCACTGAAGCTGGGGACCAAGAAGGCAGGAGGTAAGAGAACTTTGAACAGGAGTGGGAAATAAGAGAGAGGAGTAAGGTTCTGAGCTGGCCCTGTGCTTGGGCTCTTGGCTGAAGCTGTGGATGCTGTTGTGAGGATCACCAGCCTGACCCAGTCCTGTGGCCAGCCTGGGGCTCTCTTCTGCACCGGAGGTTGGGTGCCTACCTAACACTCCCCTGGCTGGGAGTGTTGTGGAGAGGTGACTTTGTGTCTGGGCAATAAGAGGAAGGAAATGGAGCACTGACAGGAAGAGGAAAGGGTTGGCCAGAGTCACAACCCAGTGGTGATCCTGAGAGATAAGCTTGGCTCACCTGTGTGGCTGGGGAAGCCTCTGCCATGCAGCTGGTTGTTCTCACTGCTGCTGAGACCAGTCTCTGAGGAGCAAGGTTTTTCATCTCCTGCCTGGGAGAAGGGTAGAAGGAAAATCTGATCAGTTCTGTTTCTGGTCCTCAGATGGGCCAGAGAGGGAACTGGTGAGCGGTTGTTGTTTGTTTTGCAAATGTAACTGAAGTGAGCTGGCTTAAAATTAAAAAAAACCAATAACCAAGCAACAACCAGCTTTTAAAAAAGGAGGGCAGAAACTTGCAGAGAACAGTGTCCAGGCAGGAGCCTGTGGCAGCCTGGTGGGGCTGCACTGAGGTGGGTGCTGGAGAAATGACTGGACCCTGCTATGTCCCAGCCCTTCCAGGGGTCAGGAGTGTGACAGCCCTGGGCAGGCCACATGGTGCATGGGACCCTGTTTCCCAGGGTCCTATTAAAGATGGAAACATCTCTGCCACGCCCCATCCCTGTGCCAGCGAGGGGCAGAGCGTGTGTTGAGGCACGGTTTGGGTACCGAGTGTTTCTGTCAGATCACACTGGAAGAAAACCCCAAGAGAAAAGCTGTGGTGGTTCTAGATCCTGTCCCTTCCCTCCCCTGCTGTCCCACAGATTCCCCAGTGACCTAACCGAGGACAGCAAGCGGCTGGAGGATCTGGTGAGCCTCGGGGGATGAGCCAAGGTTACCTTTCTCTTGAATCAAACTGCACACTGCCGGCTGGCTGCCAGGCTCCTGCCGCCCTGCCCCGATCTCTCCCTTTGACCAGACCACACTGGACTGAACCCGAGGAGATCATCTCGCTTTCTTACTAACCACCGACGGTTTACGCTTCCCCCCTCCCTGCCCCCAGCCCACTGATTCTTCTTTTATTTATTTTATTAGCTGTTAGTTTTATTTTTTTATTTTATTTTTTTATCTTTTTTTTTGGGGGGCTGCCCCTTCTTTTTGTTGTTTGCTCTTTCCCGAGCTAGTAGACATATTTTATGAATTGGCTTTGTGATTGTGTTAGGTAGGTTTCATTGAGGAGTATTTTTATTTGGCTTTGAAACTGTTTTGAATATTTTCAACTCTGTTGTTGTTGTCGTCAGTGTTTTTAAAGCACGGTATGTAACAAGAATGCAGTTCTGAAGGGAAGAAAGAGACACAGAGAGAGCAAAGGCTGAGAGGAACTGCTGTATTTCTATTTTTTTTAAAGAAACTGTTTTTAATTGTTTCTGTTTTGTAAATGTGAGGCTTTGAAAAGTGTGAAACTCCAAGGATCCGAAAACGTTGGACATCGCTATGGAACAAAACAAATGTATATTTTGCTAAGTGAAAAACACTATCCTTACAGCTGAAAGATTTTTTTTTTTTCCTAGGTTTAGTTTTACGTGGGGTTTTCTTTTTCCTCCTGTATAATATGTAAATATCGCGAGCTGAACCTGGCTGCCGCCTGCAGCCTGGCTCCAAGGAGCAGCTCCAGGTCCTGGACTTGGAGCCGCAGCGTGAGCAATACTCTCCAGCAGAATCCTGACAGGACTCCGTTCTTTTTTTGTACACCTTTTACTGTAAGATTTAAGATTTTAAGACCTCTGATGAGATGAAAGCGGCGGGCTGGGGGGGGGCGGGCGGTGCGCGTGAAATGTACCGGCCATTCGGCTGTTTTGACTCTGAGCGCGGTAAAGCTGCTTCCAATTGCTCGATGTACAGACTCCATTCCTGGGCTCCGTAGTGCCGGCTCTGGGCTGGCTTAGGGAAAGGGCTTTGCCGCCGTTGCTTGTCTTGGTTACTTTGAAAGGAATTCACTCTCCAAACATTATCGCTTGCGTCAAGATTTCCTGGGAAGGGGGATCCTCCTCCGGAGGCGAGGGTGTCGGCAGGGGTGTCAGCCAGGGGGAGATTTGGGTGGTCGTTCTCTGAAGGGCAGGGCGCTGGGATAGGGATTCATTAACAGGGGAGAAAAGCATTAGGGTGGTGATTTTGGGGCGGGTTAAGGGCTTCTCAGGGATTATACGAATTATAGAATTGCAGCTTCCCGTTTGCTTTACTCTGTGTTCTGAAGACTGTGGGAATTTGTCCGTTGTCCTGTGCGGGGGTGATCCGGTCCCTTCTCCAGAACCTACTGGGGCTTCCCTTGGTGTGGTCCAGGCCCCTGCTAACCAGCACTCTGCTAGGGGAGGCCTCCAGCAGGAATACACGGGGCAGGTTTGGGTCTGGATTTCAGTGAACCAAAGACCTTGTTAAGGGGGGTGATTAAGCCTTTTATTAAGATGCAGCCAAACTCTTTTCCCAGGGAAATAACAGCTTCATCTTAAGTTTTAAAAATCATTCCCTCTTTTCCCCCAAACTGAGCCCCTGTAAGGGAGAGGGGCATTTAAGAAAGGACCGGGAGGGTCATGGCACCCACAGGGCCCTTTTCCATCTCTCCCCTGTTTGCTGGAGCTTGTCCTGACCTGGGCGATGCGTTTGGAGAGTTCTGTTTAGGTAAGAAGGTACTTAACAGATCAGTACTGAAAACACAAAGCAATAATTTTTGTTACTGAGACAAGAGTCTGTATGTCTGTTTTTTTAAATATTTCCTAATTAAAGAAGAGCTGCATTTTATTGGGTTTATTTTTATTCTATATACTTCAAATTTGGGTCTGCGGACAGCGCTTTCCTCCCTCTTGGTATACGCGCTGAACTGCTTCCGTGCCCCCTCCAGACATCCCGGGCCAGCTGTGCTGCTGCTGGGCTGTGAGTCACTCTCTGGCCACTGCTGCCACTGCCTGGAGGCTGGGGCTCCGGTTTCAGGGTGGGCATTTTTTTTAAAAGAAAAATAAAGCTGTGTTTTTAAGCCAGTAAGTTATTACACTCCAGTGTTTGTTCTCTCCACACCTGTAACCCTTTTTCCAGATTTCAGTTTTAAATTCCTAATAAATTATTTGAAAACTGTCCTCCTCTGTCATCATTTGGGGGTGGGAGGGTTTTCCAATGGGAGAGGTTTCAGGTGAACTTGGACCTGGCAGGAGTCGCATCCTGCCATTAGGCTCAGCTCTTCTGCTCCCACTGGCAGTGGCCCAGTTTATAATGTGAGGCAGGTCTGGGTTTAGTAGAGGTTGTGTCTCTCCTCTGCATTACAGAGGTTTTGTATAAGTATTTATAGGTTCAAAAAAAGGAGGAGATAATGTGGTGCTTAGAAGTCTGGCTCATGCCCTGGGTTCAATGACTATGGTGAGCCAAGTAAGCTAGATCTGAGAAAGTAAAATGTGGAGATGAGAAGTCTTTAACAGACAGTGCTACAAGAGAGAGGAGAATTCTATGTGTGAAATAAGGAACCCTGAGCAAGTCTAGGAAAAGCAGTCTTAAAAATAATTTAAGGTTCAAGTCTGTAAGTTGGAACCAGCTGTAAGCTGGCATGTGCTCATGAGTGTACTGAGAACCAGTGGCTTTGTATACAGCACAGGTTGGGGGAAACCAAACATAGCATGGGTGGAAAAATCTTTACCCTGCTGGGATTTTTCTCATGAGGCACTCTTGTAATGTGCACATGCTTGCTTTCCCACACATGGTGATCCTCTTGTTGAATTAAAATGTTATGAAAATCACCATGAGACATTTTTGATTTATGACTTGAAGAGGCCAGTTTTCTGGGAAACGTTAAGTAATACATCAAATACCAACAATTGCAGAAAAAGGAGCTGGAGTTTCATAGATAAGAGAACAGATAAATAATAATTCTAAAAAAAAAAGAGTAAAGGTGATCAAAGTATCAGAGAAGAGAGGGAACACTTCAGTGGATATTGAAGGGGAAGTCAGCAGATTGATCTATCAACAAAAGATTGAATTATTTTTTCTGAGCTAACTGTGGTATGGACTGTCCTTTACATCAGCCTTTAATGTTTGTCCAGTGCTCTGTCAGAACACTGGGGTCTAAATAGAGAGTTCAGTGTTTTGGACTTACCCCTGGTTGGTTCCAGGAAGCTTTTTCTTACCCATTTCTTGAACTTCATTCAAGGTTCCCAACTCACCTCATCCCTTAGTATAGAGAACCAAAGGGCCTAACTGGGTTCTGCATTGGTGCTGGAGAAGGACAAACTGCTCTCTCTAAGGTAATGAAGTCTGCTGTGTATGTTGACACTTCTAAGCCCAGTTCATTTCCAGTGTAAATCCCTTAAGGCCACATAAAAACAGACACTACTTGTTAACTCAGATACAGACACTTTCCAGGTCACTTGGCTCCTGTTTCTTGCCTAGTAGTACCTCCTTCTCCTCTGTGGTTTCGAAGTAAAGAACAGCTCGAATTTTTTTTAGTTCAGCTCATGCCAAATGGTTATTTGAGGTGAGTGGACAACTTGAACCTTATTCTCTGAATTAGGCCAGGAGAATCCATGGAGAGATACATGATTAATGATAAGTGGGATACTATAAAAAGAGGATGCAGGTATTAGTGACAGGTGGCTATTAGTGTGCCAGCAATTTCCAACTTAACTACCATACTGCTACTATTTTTCAGCAGAGGGGCCTTAAAAACATCCAGGTCTTTCAGGCTGACATCTAATAGCATCACTACAAGAATTTAATAGGAAAAATTTAGAGAGCAAATATTTGCCTTCCCAGGTTCCATAGAGTTCACTCAATTGGCCTTCAATTGGTCACGCCACAACCTCCCACTCACAGTCTCCGATGGAAGAAGTCTACATTTAGTAACGTAAATACTGGCTGGTTTATCTCATACCCATGTCAAGGTGAGCTTGTCGTATAAAGAGACACCAATTCCCTTTATCGCCAATCTCTCTGTCAAGTCCTGCAAGAATGAAGTTCCTGACCCTGCTTTTCCTGCTGTCGGGTGCGTAGGTGCCCTCACCCCCGGACTTGGTAACAGTCAGCCTGACTCTAACCTCTGTGTCTCTCCTCAGTGGGCGCAGCCAGCGCTGATGTCTCTCCCCGGGCCATGTGGCTGTTCCGCAAGCTGATCAAGTGCACCCTGCCAGACAGCCACCCGCTGCTGGACTTCAACGGCTACGGCTGCTACTGCGGCTTGGGAGGCAGCGGGACTCCAGTTGATGAGCTCGACAGGTTTATAACACCCTGCTTTTACAAACCTCTTTCCTTGCTTGTGCTTTCCTGGTTCTGCACCCCAGCTTCGTCTCAGCTGGCCCTGCCTATAAACACTCACAAACCCTCCAGCTGCTGTGAACGAAGGTTCCTCTCACAGATGGATTCAAAGGAACAAGGATGTGCAGTATCACACCTCAGTGCCTTATTACTAAGATAAAATATAATCCCAGCAACTCTCTTTTCCTTCCTATGGCAGCACAGCATGCTCATTCCAGCATTTTTTCCAGCAGTGTTGTGCCAGCAGCCTGGGCACAGCTCTGCACACTCTGCCCAGTGCACAACCATCAACACATGCAGGGCTGAGCTGGAAAATGCTGGTAAACAGCTTGGACAGTTTAGAGATCACACAAATGTGACAGCCAAGACACCATGCTTTGTGTTGGCTGTGAGCTCTCAGCACCACTGAGGGGGTGTACAGGGTAAACACTGGCTTTTGCTTTCTCTGTGCCCAATAGACAATTGAGATCATCTCCAGTAAGTACACGTGTACCACACACCTCTCGGACAACAGCTGGCACAACTGTTTCCCTTTGGGGCTGCTCTCTTGTCACTGGGTATCTTTTTGATTTTGGGTTTTTTTTTGTTCAGTGCCTTGTCAAAGTAACCATAGTATATTTGTGTGTCTTACAGGTCAGCTGTATTTCTGGTAGTTTCTGACCTTTTTCTCCTTGTTTCCCAGGTGCTGCCAGGTACACGATAACTGCTACGGAGAGGCACAGAAATTGGACTCATGCAGATTCCTCCTGGACAACCCCTACACCAAGTCCTACAAGTACAGCTGCTCCAGCGGGGAGATTACATGTAGCAGTATGTCCACTTACACATGACTCCAAATGTTCTCCATTCTCTCTTTGGAAGGAACAGGGCTCTGTGTTACACTTCTGTGGCAGGAAGACGGGGGGCTGGTTGTCAGAAAAGGCACACCTCACACAGGCACTGAGCGAATATTCTCCATATAGCCCACAATTTAAAGTTTATGAAGATATATGATATCACAGGGAAGCCTGTCTCCTCTTCAGGGGACTGAGTCCCTGTGGTACTTTTCTGGGATCCCTTTTAATGGCACTACCCGAGATCAGCGTGTTAACTGGGCAGTGTTACACGGCTTTTGCTGGACACCTCTGATGAACGGTGAAACCTTTATAGGGCTCTGGAACCGAGGTAAAGAGCAGAGAGGCCGGCAAACAGCACTGCAGGAGGGGAGGGAGGAAGGGGCCAGAGATGGCCGGGCTGGAGCACACAGCTTTAGATGCAGAGGGTTTAGTGGGGAGAATCCTGTGCACCCCAAAACGATGGCAGCAGTGAAACGGGTACACCCTGACAGCAGAAATGCCAGCCTGAGCCACCGCAGTGCCTGGCGAAGGAGCTGCAGGGTCTGAGTGCTCCTCTCTCTCCTCCAGGCAAGAACGACGAGTGCTCCTCGTTCATCTGCAACTGCGACCGCACCGCTGCCATATGCTTCGCCAACACGCCCTACAACCCCGAACACAAGGATCTGGATAAAAAGAAATACTGCCAATAATTCTCCCTTCCTGCCCCTCAGGGCGGCCGCAGACTTATAAAAACCACCTCAATAAACGCCTTACAAAAACCCGCTGCCTCCCACCGCGCTGCGATCGACCGCAGGGCCGTGGGGGAAGGCAGGGGAGGGGCGGGGCCTCCCCCCCTCCCCTTCACGCCCTGCCCCCCTGCCCACGGCTCGCTGGCGGGCGGCGTCACACAACCGTCGTGGGCCCCCGCCTTTCGCTGATTGGCCCTTGGAATCGGCGGTGGGCGGGGCGGGGCGGGGCGCGCTGATGGACCGCGAGCGTGCGTCCGCGTGCAGCCCCGCCCTCAGCCCGCAGGTACCTGAGGGGCGGGGCGGGGCTGCGGCTCTGCGGTGCGACTGTCTTGTTTCCCCCACACTCGAGGGGATCCTCAGGGCGACTCTCCTGCACTCCTTCACACTCCAGGGGCGCCTCAGGGCGCCCTTCCCACTCTCCGTCACCCTCCCGGAGCTCCTCAGGGCGACCCTCCTGCCCTTCCGGGGCTCCTCAGGGCGACCCTGCCTCCCTCACCGTCCTGGGGTCTCCTCAGGGCACCTCTCCCGCCCTCGCAGGGCTCCTCAGGGTGACCCTCACGCCCTCCCTCACCCTCCCGGGGCTCCTCAGGGCGACTTCCCACACTCCCTCACGCTCTAAGGGCTCCTCAGGGCGACCTTCCCTCACTCCCTCATACTCCAGGGGCTCCCCAGGGCACCTCTCCCGCCCTCACGGGGCTCGTCAGGGCGTCCTTCCCGCCCCCTCACCCTGGCGCCGGGCTGCCCACGCCATAGCCACAGCACAGCTGCCCCCCGAGGCGCGGCTGCGTGAGGGGATCGAGCTGCTCGGCCGCTCCCCGCTCTGAGGGAGCCCTTCCGCTGCCCGGCGCTGTTCCCGGTCAGGAGCTGCAGGACAGGAGGTAATGTTGGCTTGGAACGCAGGGTCCCCCTCTGAGGGATGGTATCTGCCCCCGTTTTCCAGCCCTGCCAAGGTCCTGTGCCAAAGCCGCCCCCCGCCCTTGGTACCAGTTGTGCTGGCAGAGGTTTTAGGGAGGTGCGGGTGAGCTCCTGGGGCAGGGGCTGCTCACTCCTGTTCCTCCCCGGAATGAACTGTACCCAAACGTGGAGCAGAACCCAAGGGTCTGCAAGAGGGCTCTGAGAAACTAGAAACAGATGGAGAAGGAAGAAGCTGGCTTGATATGTTGCTGGAAGGTACTTGCAATGCCTTCCTATTGAAGGTCACTGGATCTTTGAGGGCATTAGCATGATAATGAGATAGGATAGTAAATTGCATTTTGTTCTTTTTTTTTTAATGAAAGAAAAAATGGAGTGTGTGGCAGCCAGATACTCCATCTTATGGCACATCAAGTCCTAGTTTTGTACCAGTATTTGTTGCTTATTTTTCCTTGGGTGTTTGTGTACGTGAATTTTCTGGAAACGTTGAGTACTTGGGGTCCTCCAAAGAAATCCTGAGGATCCTGGATGTGCTCCCAAGATGTGGCCAAGATGAATCATTCCTAGGGCTGGAAGTGCAAGATGAGATCTCCTGTGCTCACACACTAGCTCTGATTCTCTGAAGTTATTTTTTGTAGAACAGTAAAGCTCCTAAGTAAATGTTACTGAAATCCCTTTGTAGTGATAAATTATAAATCCTGTTGTAGAGGAAAAAAAGTAAAATACCATCACTATCTAGAAGGAACACTGTACTTTTGAGCTGTATCATCACTAGCAGAGAAGGTTGCTGGGGTGCAGTTGGAAGCATTTCAGAACCTGTTGGTATAAATTTGGCCTGTAAAAGGAACTCTCTAGATTTGAGGTGAGCAGTGTATCTACTGGCATCCAGCATTTGGGGCACACTAGCATTCCATAGATAAACTCAATGGATAAATGAAGGCTCCATTTCAATTTATATCCATCCTACTCTGTACAGATTTGATAAGCCTACACTTATGTTTAGTCCCTTGATCATGCTTCTCATTTCCATGCTGCTTTGGTGGTGTGAAAGACCTAACAGTAAATTCAAACATCCTCCATCCATAGGGAACCTTCCCACAAAATGTAGCGTGTCAGGCCCTAATGAACGGCACAGGTGGGGAGGCTGAAGGGGTTCTGCTAATTAGGGCTTTGAGGAATGTTGTGGAAAGAGCAGGGCCAGTGATTGCTTGAACTGACTCACTGCCAGTGTATGGAGAGTACAAGGTGTGTGTGAAGATCTTCTGCCATGACAGCCTGTTCCAAAACAGAAACACAAGGTATCCCTGTGCTCAGCAAGCCGGGGAGCTCTGAGGCCCCTCACAGCACTGCAGCTGGGACATGAGATGCTGGAGGGACAGCAGCTCTGTGGGCTCACACTGCAGAAGTGAAATCTCAGCCTCTTATCTTCCTTTTCTCTATTGTTGTTTTCTAGGCCAAGATTTTTCAGTCTCTGCAGGGAGAGTTGAATTACTCTTAACTATATGGGCATTGCAGAGATGAAAGGGAAAGTGCTCCAGCTGAGGTGAGACATGCAGAGAGCAAACAACTGTGCTTGTGGTAATGATCCTGTGTCAGTTCCTATTTGGGCCTGAGACCAATACAAGACATTTGTACTGTTGGTCTTCCTCTCAGGCTCAGCTTTTCTTCTTCCCTGCCATTGTCTAGTTAGTGGTGCAGGAGGTGGTACTTGGGTATCTTTCTTAGTGGGAAAGGAGAGGACAGAACTGCAGGTGTCTGGAACAGTCTTTCACCTTCCTGCTGCAAAAGCTGGGAAAGGGTGACATCCAAGGCAGTTATGGGGGAAGAAGCACACTCTAGAAGGTAGATTTGGGTCATTTTCTAGAAGCCATGAACAAGCAGGTGTGTCAGTAGGACCAATGTGACTGTAAGATGTGGGAGGCTGCACTTACACCACAGCCACCCAGCCCTCCAGGCCTTCTGCAGTCTGTGTTGCCCTCACTGGAGCTCAGTGTGTGAACTACCTCTCTCAGGCTGCTGGGCTCAGTTACAGTTTGCTCTGAGAATTTGCCCAGGAACAAAGACAAGATGTGCCAAATAGGAAGTGGCTTTTATTTGCTTTGGGTAACTCCAACCCCACTTCCAGAGGAGCAGCAGAAAAATCCATTATAAGGTACTCTCAGCTCCTCTATCCAAACCTCAGGAGGAACAGCTGTAAGAAAAGGGGAAGAGCATAAGCTGTTGATTCAGCTAATCTCATGGTAAAAAAACCTGTCCTTGTGCTGTTGTCTGATGTGTACATTTGGCACCCACAGGTGCACAGAGCTATGACTGCAAGCCATGATCTAAAATACTGGTGGACTGGTCTAAAAACTATGAGCCAGAAAAGGTGGGAGAGGGTTGAATCATGTGGAGGATGAGACAGACTTAAAGCAAACAGCATAGATAGAAAGGACCTGTGAGAACACTGCTCAGGCTCTGTAACACTTCTTTTCCCATAGTTTTAGCCAATAACACAAAGATTATGGCCCTTTTGTTTTAGCTTTCAGGAACAACATTTCTCCCCCTTTTTAAACCCTCCTCCCTTGCAAATTCTGCATTGTCTGAGAGAATGAAGCTGAACACTAGGTCAGTTATGTTACTGAGTTTGTTGTTTTCCCACAGCATGGCTAATTCCTATACTGCTCAGCCCTGGAGGTTTCTGTAACTCCCTCCAGGCTGGTGATGACATCAGTAAGCTGAGAAACACAAACTTCTCAGGATAGGCCTTTGCTAGCTGCCTGCAAAGACATAGTTATGTTCTGATAGCTGTTATCTCTCTGCATTGCATCTTCCCACACAAACAGCCCCCAAGGAGTGACAGGGGAAGGTGTCAGTCAGCATTAGAGTGATGCAGATCTGGCTTTTGGTGCAGGATCTTTAGGCGCTCTCAGGCATTTCTCAGTTGAGTGAACTTCTCAGTGGTGTCTTGGGGAACATGTTAAGAGCTGAAGTGCTCCAATCCTGCTCTAAAAGAAGTCAACTTTAGTAGTACTAGATCAGCCTAGCAGGAAAAAAAAAAGGAGCTCCTTTGTCTCAGCCTCATGTATTTGCTGTAGATATGCTCATTAACATTATAGTAATAAACTATGGACATGAAGTCTACTGTAATGTTTGTTTATTGTAAGTCATTGTCTCAGGGACTTAAAAGTATAATCCCTGGAGGGTCAGGGTAATATGACTCATCTGCCAGTAATGCTGAAGAGACACCCTGACTCCTCTCCCACAGGCTCAGCTGCAGAACTGGAGAAGAGGCAAGGATAGATGTGGGAGATTTAGTTACCTGTCACATAGCTAATTCCAAGTCTTCACTTGAAATGTTTTCTTGTTTTAGATGTTTCAGTAATGCTCCCACACCATCTCAAAATGCTGGCTCTACTGGCAGTAAACCTGCAGCCTCTGTTTTTGACACACCAATGTCACAGGAGTTTCAAGGTGGGGCAGAAGATGATGCAGATGGTGAGAAACTCAGCCCCAGCTCCTCTGCTAAGGAGGCATCGGTGCCTCTTCTTACATGGAAAAACCTATGCAAATAAATTCCCTGTGTGTGGGGACTCTGCTATACTTTAGCCATGACTTCTGCAAAAGCCTTGGTTAGCAGGACAGCTGTACTATGGACAGGACAGGTAAATATGTGACATCTGTGAGCTTTCTTCACTGCCAAACAGCAGACACCTGACCTGCTGCAAAGTGGGGTCTCCATTAAATGAGAGCAGAATGCAGGTGGGGGTCCTGAACTGATCTCACTTGGTTTCTAAGTGAAGCTGTCTCTCCTCTGACCCATAACAGCCAAATCTTGAAATGCATTAAGCATCTTAATGCCCTCTACCTTCTCCAGAAATTGGGTGCCTATGTATCCCTTATTTTCTGTGCTTTACTTGCTCCTGCCTGGCATGGATTTGAATCAACAACAAAGCAAAAAAGAACTCTGTATCACGTGGTCAGTTGTCCTTGCTTTGCTACTTGACCTTTTAGCAGATGACTCTGTCATCCTTGTTTCCAACTGCTTGTTACAGTTCTTGTCAAAATATTAGTACAGGACATGTTATTTGCAGAGTAGGAGGGGG